AAATCGCATCATATGACCCCTTTAAATTGCCAATACATTTCTTAACTTCTGATTTTACCTCTTTATTGCAAAATAACCTAATATTGCCATCTGAAATACCACACAAGAAGTTACTGGAATCAGTTAAGGCTGAATTTAAAGTGTACGAACATTTATAAATGAAAGAAATACTGTATGTTATTCTTTTCCCCTTTTGTTCTAGCCATTTATGTCTCAATCTAATATGCTTCTTTTGCCCTTTCTTGATTAATTTAATCAAACTATTTGTAATGTTGTTAAATCAAATTTTTACTTCGGGTTTAAATTATCAGTGCATTATTTCATTAATTAAAACTATAGTACAAAAATGCATTTGATAAGTGTTGTCTAGTATGGTTATAAGTAGATCTGAACTGAAAATCTGTGAGAATTGGAAATAATTTGAAAGAGCGAAAAAACTTTGCACATCTTGAAACGGTAGGATGACCTGTTTTGTGTGTTGTTGTTTGAATTTGTCTTTGTGTGTTGTTGTTAGGTGACGATTAATGGTTTTGTATTAGGATTAGTGGATAAACCGCTTTAGTCAATATGGTTGATCCTGACAAACGGGCTATCAATGAAGAGACGAATAGAATAAGTTGAACTCCAGTTAACCAAAGTTATTTGAGTAATAAAAGTGTATATCTAATTTTATATTCTTGACAAAGTTGTGATGTCCCAAAACCCTCAGAGAATGGCACCCATGATGCATTGGTGTCAAGCCAACATACTCTTGCGTAATCTGTCAATTCCAAACTACTTTAATAAAAGGAGCTCATGTTCTCTTGCAGTGTCACCAGACCAGATCGGTGGATTTGAACAGAAAACGAGCACGGGAGATTTTACGCGAGAAACTGGAAATTGCGTATAAGGGTGAGGAAAGTGAACTGCTGAAAATGAAAAAGGAATCCATACAGAGGAAACAGGAAAAACGGCAAAAAGTAAATGAAAACATGGAAAAAAAGAGACGATTCAAGGAGATGCTGTACTCAGACCAAGAAGATGACAAATGCTGAGGAGCACATGATTTATACAGTGTATTATACACTGTGGACAAGACCGCTTTAACAGTATATTCTGTAAATTAAGATATTGGGGAAGATATTTGGAGAACTGGATACAGTGCTTGGCTCTGTTATAGCAATTAACCTTTAACTTTGTGTTTGATAAAAATTTTCAAGTTTGTAAGCAAATTGCTCTTATGTCCCTGGTTTTGTTGAAGTGAAAACTAAGGTTTCTGTAAAGTGAGAGGCCATAGCTTGTTGAGTACATAACATCTGGTTAATAAACAAAGATGCAAAGAGCACAGAAAGGCTGGTTGATGATTTATGTATCTGCATCTAATCTACACAGTGCATAAATAAGCAGTGACTTGTGTGATTGTATAGGAAACAGAAACACATACCAGTCCAGCTGTAGGACCCTCTCTGGTCACATTCATTTAACCCAAGTAAGGTGGGTTAAACTGACTTGATTTTGAATCATCCAACATTATCCTTATTGTCAAATGGATTCAAAATCCATTTAGTTCAAAAGGTATATCCAAAAACTTTTTTGTTTGTTTGCTATTTTGTTTTAGTAATTTGGTTGTCGGCAGACTCTCAAATAATTCATTCATTAATTAATCATTTTCATAAACAGCTAGGTGTTACTATCATGAGTGATTATGTACAAGCATAATTCATTTGAAACAGTACAAGCATTGATCACAAAATATATATACAGTGCCATAAAAAAGGTTTTTGCCCCCTTCCCGGTTTTTTTTTTTTTTTGCATATTTGTCACACTTAAAAGATTCAGATAAGTTATTGTCTCTCAAAAGAAAGAGTCGACTCTGAATCATTGAAACGGGTTGTTTTTAAAACGAATCTCAAGCGTTTCATGTTGACATCAACATGAAGCATTAGCATATTGCCTTCCCACTTGTTGGTCTTTTCGTGTTGGTCTGAATGAAAATGTAAATTCATTCTTTGCCGCTAGGTGCCGCTTCTGGAGCGGTAAAAATAGCTGTTTCCCCGGTAACGCTGTACACAAAGCAGCACTGCGCTCACAAACGCTGCTTT